TGTTCGTTTTTTTGTTTTTGTGTTTTGACATGGCATTGTCAGTTCCTTTTCGACTTATGAGTATCCCTTTGGTATAGTTTGCCTCTCTTATAAAAGATGCACATTTTAATATATGCATGATGTGTGTTTAGCCTATCTTTGGGTTAATTTTTAATTTCTCTTAAAGTTTTATACTTTAAAAATGTGTTTCACTTCTAACACCAATATACGTATATACATGTATTACGGTATTTTATTCGTTAGACATTTCCTGGCATGATTGGTATCTATATTTAAATGTTTATGTAAAAATAGGTTGTTGATAATTTTTAGCATTGTTCAAAAAGTTTCATTTGATTGTTAGGGTAATTTACTTCATATTAACATACAGTGTTGGTGTTCACACATAGTGCATTTGTGTATTTCTTTAGAACCTGAATTGATTTGAATGTAAGGTGTAATTCACATTTAGCATACACTTTCACTTGTTGCACTTGCATAGTTTCTTCTTACCTGACTTACTTTACTGGCATTGTAGTTATCAGTTAGAATTACTGTTTTAAATTCTTTAGTTCACTGGTCAGTCGTTGAAGTTGAGGTTTTCGATATTTTGTTTAGAAAGTACCCCATTGAACATTCATTGTTTTATTGATATGGTGAAGTCTATATATTTTGTTACTTTTGACACTATTTCATTATTTTTTTCTTTTATCTGGGAACAATGTGGGAAAGGGGGATTCGAAACTGATATATTTGTTTTTCTTTTCTGGACATAGATTACACATATGAAGATTACTTAGTAATTCTGATTGATTTGACCCTTTACCTCCTAGTAGTATAGTTGTATTGTGTTTTTGATGTAAATTTACTGATTGATTGTAGTTACAAATACTTTGTGAATTTCATTGTGCAGTATCAGTGATTGTCATATATTTGTGTTGAGCATTGTGTGCATGTATATATGTTCTTATATTGTAGGTTTATAACAACTTTTCAACAAAACATAAGGTAAGTTATTTCTTTCCTGGTATTTACAGTTTTTTTCAGGCTTCACTTAGTTACACATCACTACACCGTTAGCTGCCACGTATGACCAACCAAACAAACCATGATACAACGCCATGTATGTCACAGAAGACATAAAACACAACGTCCTCAATGAGACTAGAGAGAAGCTGAATACCAACCTGCTCCTACTCAGATTCCTGTATCTCAAACATTTGGGACACCTTTGGTATGCTTCAAATGTGGACAGCAAGGTAACTATGTATTTACCTGCAAGGTAAGAATCGACCACTCCAGAAAACTTTGCAAACTTTAGCAATTGCATACTGAAGCCAAGATGAACCAACGTCGACAATCCTCAGGTGATACAAACGGATTACTAGGAAGCCAAAACAGAGTAATCTTAGTCATCAATGGGCTTCAAGTATCAAAACTACTATAAACTGGTTCTACAGTCAACAGTTACTCATTCCATCGACAGTACCTTGCTGACAGTCCTATCCAGGCACTCAACCATATTCTTAACATTGAGTGTGCAGATTGCCATAATATGCTATACCTTGGTTACATCTTAACAGATCTACAATTACGAGGAAAGTTACATCAACAAAACGTCAGTACTGTCTACTATTAGTAATTCCAGACAGTACTTACAACCAGACAGTACTACTTCTTCTGGAAGTCATCGTATTGACAGCGACGATGACTGATGCGAAGCAATGAATTTTGCCACGTGTTCATCCAACAGCAGATCTACGTACACCTTGGTATATTACGTTCAGATGTCTGTTTCTTAGAGATAGAGAACTGCAGAAGAGATGCTACAAACTTGCCATCGTCAAGAGTGATGATAGGTTGACCATCCGCATAATACCTAATAAAGATGTCGTTCTTTAGGGATTCATGGACCACGAATTACCATATTATCTAGTTTGTGGATTTTTGCAGTCAGCTGATAGTGCAGAAATGCCACCAGGCTTAGATGTAACCATACGTTAGTACCATATCAGTAACGAAATAAAAAAGCATACCAGTACACGTCAGAAATGTAACAACCAGAACAATAAAAGTTTCGTCAAACACGATTCTTTGCGATCTACAGCCAGTTTCAGTCACTGAAAATGCATTCAATAAGTCTACAATCTAAGGCACACTTAAACCTAGTGAACTTCTTCAGAGGTGGTGGAGACACACAAAACAAAACAAAATACGTTTACAGTCGGTCCACTTGATTTTTACGAGTGAAACATACCTCCGTTTAGCATATTAACACGACAGCATCCTACCAACGCCTCATCAAGTAGATACTAGAAGATTTGCACGTAGATATATGCTTCATCTACCTAGACGACTTAATCAAATCACCTTTTCTTAACATATTTAAACATGTTAAAGGCTACATATTGTATTACAACTAGACAACTAGACAACTAGAAGCACTTCGTCGTACCAACCCCTCCAACATTAGTACCGATTCTGTGAATGCCATTTGTTCGTTCCATCATGCACAACCCTACGTTTAGACGGTATTGGGGACAACACCAAAAGCTACTTGTAATCAATATTTACCAAAACAGTATTTAGTAAACACTAAGATGGAAAAGAAAGAAAGATGGAACAAAAGAAACATAAGAACATCAAAATAATTTATATAGAGGGTTGATGCAGATCGCAAACCACGAAAAGAGCAACCAGAACAATAACCAAGCAGAGTGATTTTAGAACTATTTTGAAATACTATAAACATCATTTATCTAATTACTATATTTATAATAATAATAGTTTCTATTTTCTGACTTCGTTCTACTCAGTTCGCATGTATGTAATACAAGTATGAAAGATGCACATTGGAGTAATTTATTTTGCTTCGAGAACATAAGTTTTATAATTTTAGTTTATTTGTGGCGGTTGTGCATTTATCACTCTTTGATTACTGTCAAAAATAGTCCGTATATTCTTCTAAATAGCGGCATATTAGACGAAAGACGAAAAAGTGTTTCCATTCATTCAAAATATTAGTCCGTATATTTATTATCACATTTTTGTTTTTATGACTCCCTTAGCTTGGTATAGTAAGTTAGAACTTTTAGAGTTTGTGTAATACGCCATTAGCCTTACAAGTTAAAATCACTCCACAAGTGGTAAGAGTATAGTTAGGCATTTCTGTTTTAGTCGACCAATAAAATTGGTTAGAAAACATGAGCTGTCTCCCTTAGATTTGGAGCTTTTAACGAATTAATTATATTTACATCAGTAGTCTTTATGATTAAAAGATTTACAAATTTATGAATGCTGTATCTTAGAAAAAGAGAGGCGAGATATATCAAAGGGACACTTAAACGAACTGACAATGCCATGGCTAAACACGAAAAACGCCCAAAGGGCAAACAACAGTACATAGTATACAAAACACAACATAGAAAACTGACTGAGCACCACGAGCCCCACCAAAAACCGGGTGATGGTAAGTATAAGTATTATATATTTTAATGAAGTTATTGTTTATAGATGCAGTTATAACATTAAATATATACTGTACATGAATTAAATAGTGCCAAATACCAGTTACACAGGTGCGTGAAAGAGAACACATTCCTAAGTAGTGTGTGTACAGAAGGTCTAGCCAATGCTACACGTACACTTGACACCAAAGTCAATTTCAATGATTGAACATATTGACTTGGTGTGGTTTTATTTCATTTCTGATATATTGCACACTACCTTATTTATGTCGTAGTGTACATTTGGGAGAGAGATAGTTTTACATCAGACATTATTTTTTTAAATGATGCTTCACACAAGAGAACCCCTTAAAAACAACTCATAAAACAGCCAATGGTTTTTATTTAATTTTTTTGGAAACTTTTGCATAGATTCCATGTAAGTCTGTGATTAGAACAATTAATGGTGAACCAGTGATGGCAGTAAATGATATTCAATATGCAGTTTTATTAGACAAATATTACGTGTTCTACAAATTAATCTGAAAAATGGACAAACAGGAATAAAATAGAGGCGGAAAATACTAGATAGATATTCCAACTCATACGTCGAAGACAAAATGACAACGCCATGGCATAATGATTCAAAATTCAAACCGTTTTCTATAATAACTTATTTCCTTCAAAGCAGATTCTTTTTATGATTTTTATTATTAGAATTTTTCAGAGCATGGTCAAATATGTCTTGCTTTGTTTTGTTGTGATGTTTTCGTATTACGCATGATTTGAATCTCCATTAATCCGTTTTCAATGCAAAGTTTTCTAAGTTATAAAATAGTTTTGCAGCTTTTCCAAGGGGCAAGAGAAAAGACTGGTAAAACATATTGTTTTAGATACAACACATACATTTGTTGGCCAAATATGACTGTACCACTAGTAATCAAAAGCTTTAGAATCCATAGGAAATAGCATGTTTGTATGTACCTTAAATTGGCTTCATATTTACTTGGTCAACTACATAAATGCTTCGGTTAAAGGCGTCTTTAAGTTCGGTAAATGCTATGTACTGACACTTAAATATACGGATACTCCTGTTATCCTTTTTTTCAAGTTTTATAGTTGCAAAACTTTTTCAAAAACCTACACTTCTTGATTTGTACGTAAAGTTAATAAAGGATTTGAATTTGAAACTAAGTTTTGATTCGTGAAAGGTGCACGTTTTTCATCATAATTTTGCGTCGGAATAGTGTGAACTTCGACATATTCATGTTCGAAAGCGTCAAAACCCTTATTCAGAACACTTTATCATGCTATTGTTTCTAAGACAGACATCGGGTGTTTATCGTTAGAATCAGGCGTTGCAATTAAACACTGTTATATTAACAACCAACTGAAACCCAATCTGAAAGATCACATTGAACCCAAATCCATCCATTAGGTCAAAACCGATTAACCGTACAATGATACAATTGTGAAGGAAGTATAGCAGATTAAATATAATGTCCGCTGTAAAGAACTTTTGGTATGGTAGCATGAGATTTTACGAAACAAGAAATTAACAAAACATCATCAATAGTGCGTAGTAATAGCTTTTATTATTTTTCTGCTTGTTGTTATATTGACAAAGATCTCAATTGAGAAATTTAAATAATAATCAAGCAAAATATGCGTTTAAGACTTGAAGCATATTTCATCAAAAGTATGAACAGTAACCAGTTTTGAGTAATAACAAGTTCTTCAAGTTGCAATTTTCAATGAATGTTTCATCATCCACAGTTAAAATAGTTATACTGATGTAAGTGGTTTTTTTTATCTAGACATACATTTAGTGCAGTTCATTGGAACAATGTAGAACTGATTGGGAGTAATCATATGTATCTTTATGTAGTGTTCTGCTATGAAGAATCAGTCTTTTATAAATATTGTTTACAGAAATTCCCTCGGACTTTATTAATTTCGAAGTGATTTGACCAAGTTTTATCAATGAAATCCTTCAAATCAACTATAATTACTATTAATAACCTAGACGTTTTATGCAGAGTGTATCGATCGGTTGAAACCAAAGTGAAACTATCACTATGAAGAACCACGATTCAACCTCTGGCTCGTACAGATTAATATGCGAGTTTAAAGATTAATATCATTCGCATGTGTATCATTGTATGTCTCTTTTGATCTTTTTTTTGGTTTTTTGCCATGGTGTTGTCAGATTATTTTCAACTTATGAGTTTGAAAGTCACTCTGGTGTCTTTCACCACTCTTTAACAATTATAAGCTGTGGCTAAGTGATAAGATTGTTCGACTAAGCACTTCGGGGACAATTTTTTTTCAGGGTGATTACTAATAGGGCTTTAATTACGAATTTTTAAAAACCCTTCATCAAAACATGTTCCCTAGTGGCAGTCTCTCTTTGTAACTATCACGTTTCTGTATGTAACTAATTACTACCAAAACGAGGCACATCAGAAATAAACGCATCATAGATAACAGGATCAAAATTTTGTACGCCAGAAGCTCGTTTCATTTACAAATGACTCATCATTGTCTTTCAGCTGATTTTAGCTCGAAACAAAAATTTAAATAGGCCAAATGAAAAACGGTGTTGACGAGCATTTAGGACTCAAAATTAAAGAATGTTTTGCCCAATACAACTATGGTAATTTATTCCTGGGGTAGAAAATCCTTAGTATTTTGAACAATTCAAAGTTTCGTAAACAGTTTATTTGTAATTATGACCATATCAATGATAACAGAAGTTCTGACTACTGGGCTGTTTATAGCTACTTTCCTATTTTATGTGCTTCAATGTGGTTTCACAAATCATAAGATTCAAAAAGGTCCAATTTTGGTTAGATTTGATCTTCTAAATTTCAATACGAAACTATGTTTGGTATACTAGCGGATATCTAAGACTTGAGATGTTGCCATAGTTATGTGGATCACATAGGGGAAATAGGGTATTGATGATAATTTAAAATAAAAACTTTTTGTATTAATGAATAAAATCTGTCAGGCCAATTATTTAGTCTTATTAATGTTATTTGTGATACAATTAGTATTCCTCTTTTCTTTCTGTATACATAGTAGTTGAAAGGCAGACTATCACCTACCAACATTTACAACAACAATTTATTAATAGGCGATTTCAATTATCTTAATATACGATGTGCTGTAAAGTGAAAATCTCAGTTAAGACGACGAGTGTGTCGTATTTGAAAAAAGGATGTAATAACATTATGGTAATGTAAGATGATTTTTAAAAACAGACAGCACATTTTAATTAGCAAAGACGACATGGTATTAATCAATAGAATAAAAGATATCAAAGATTAATTGAAATATTATGAATTAATTAAACAAAACGCAAATTAAGTATGTCAATACTTTCAAAAAGCAAACACAAAGTTGTGTTGTTTCAATGGAAAAACATTATATTCCACTGCAATAGTTTAGACAAATTTTTCGTCGAATTCTGTAACAAAACCAAAGTACTGTACTCCAAAGTAAGTACCTGTCTCCTCCCATTTCTTGTCTCCTTGGTGAAGACTTGCTGTGAATGGAACATCCAAGTTGGATTCTGTTATGGTCGAAGTCAGCGTTAATCTAATTCAAAGACCAAAGGAAAGATAGATAATCAATTGATACGTTTAACATAATATATTTAATATTTTTACAAGTAAAATACGTTTAACCGCTGTCGTTGTTATTTATATATATATAAATATATATATGCTTGTTTTCATAAATACCATTTGCAAAGAGTATTATTGGCCAATGCCATTGGAAAAAAAACTTATTTTTATATGCTTTTTTAATATTTATTTGTCATTGCATAGTAGCGTGAACACATTTTTAATTGAAACGGCATTTTATTCTGAACCCAATGTTTGACGGTGAATGTGGACTTTATGAGTTATCCATTCATTTGGCGGTTCAGGGAGACAATAAAAGGACTTAGAACTCTGGCACATATATCTACCCTACCGGCTCTATGTCGGAGGGTATAAAATTATTTCCTAGGGTTCACTCTTGCCATCGAGATGAATCCCCTCCACTTCTGGTAACAGAAAGGAGGTGTCATCTCCGCAGTACACGTAATTCAGATTGTTTGCAAATAAAAAATCGGAAAGATTGTTGTTTTTGCAGAGGTTCGTGTAAACAGAGGGGGTTCTCCGTCCAGTCCATTCTTGCACGTAGGAAGGATATTTTTGACATTTATGTTATCATAGGGTCCCCGATATGATCTTTTCAATTCATTGACTATCGGGTTGTTTGTCTCCCTGGAACTGGCAACAAAAATCCACAAACACATGATGTTGTATATATATATATTATTTGCATTAATAGTAATACATATTCTGTATTCATTTTACTTTGTATTGTTAGTTTTCAACGCTAGTGGTCCGTTTATTAACTACATAATACAATATTTAGATATTGCTCCATCGATTCTATTCGCATCCAGACTCAGTCAAAATATCATGATAGGGAATAGAAAACAATCGGTAAATTTAAAGATCAGACAACTATTCTTGATATCATAAAATCAGTAATTTTGATGCTCTTCGTTTGTTAACAAGCCAAACAATAATGTCGACCTTGCTGTTACTGTGATGTCTTCTTTGTTAAAACATAAAATAATACTGTCATCACGTATCCCTAAGTGACATGACGTTTTCTTTATAATGGAACTTTAAGTTATAGGATTATGCTAGAATTGTAGAACGGAATGCTTTTGGATCATTTAACGTCTTGCAATGTTGGATTTAAAGACATGTATTCTGTACACACGAATTAATGGCACAGGAATAATTTTACAAAAGTCAATTTCTATTAACTGTCAGTTGCAATTGAAATAAGTATTTATGTCTTGCAAATTGTGTCATACATTTTGTTATGCCTACTTGTTTTGTGTGGACTGAAAGTTTTAAATCATCTGAAAAAGGTCAGTTGATCAAAATACACTGGAAAATATAGTATCAGCTGCATTTATAAGCATCCCTTGTCATTAAGTCTTGAATTGATAAAAATTAAAATAACAAAAATACCGAACTCAAAGGAAATTTAAATATGTTTGTGAGCGCTTAACCTTCCTACTAACCTGTGACAGTGGTGTAACAGTACAACATAAGAACAAACTATAAAAATCAGTTGAAAAAGGCTTAACTCATCATATCGATACAAAGAAAAAACATCAAACAAATACACAGACCGGACGTAGCAGGGTATATATCCATCTCTCATCCCTAACAACAAAAAAGACATTAAGTACAGATTTGAGAGTATTCGCATTAATGACAGCTATGTCAAAGTCAATAACAAATAATAAAAAATCATGTATCTAAGACTTAAATATCAATCAGTACACATCCAACATCCAATAGATTTAGTATAAAGACGTCATTAATAGTCAGAGAAAAACATGACCTTGTGCAAGCCAAAATATAGGTATCGACAGATTGTAGTACCGTGAAAGTCCATATGTGTATTATTTAGTATAGTTTTAATTTAATGGTAACAAAATCAATATTTATACCAATAAAAAAAATATTCAAAGATTTAATTACAGTGTTGAATTGGTAACCTTTTAGAATAAGTTTATTCAAAGGATTGATAAGTTTACCCGGATCATATCTAAATGTCCGGGCTCGGTTAACAACATCACCGTAAAATTTAGGATGTGGTATTCCATTTTTAAATAAGTTTTCTACAGGTACAGCCAAACTTGCAAACAAAATATTTGTAACTATGGAAGAATGTAGGAAAGGTTTTAAGTAATTTGTGGTAACAAAATTCCTGACTTAATAATTTTCTAGTAATACAAAGATTACGCTCATTGAAATCCAAAACGTCACTACAGACACGGGCATAACGAACGAGTTGGGATATATTAACATCGTAAGACGGTGCCAAAGGAACATTATCGTTAAAAAAAGGAAAATTAACAATAGGGAAAGAAAAATCATCCCTTTTGTCGTAAATTTTTGTGTAGAGTTTCTGGTGTAACACTGAACTATCTTAATCTAGGAAAGGACAGTTATTGTTGTTAATATTTGTTTTATTTAAAGTAAGTTCCTTTGGGTAAATTTCAGCAGTATATTTAGCGAATTCTTGATTTTTTAACGAAAATATATCATCAAGATAACAGTAAGTGTTGAATTTATCAATTAAATGAACTATGGGCAACAGTATTTAACCTATTTTAAATCCCACAAAATCGATTTAGCAGAAGCAAATTGCATAAACTATGAAAATAACTATACGGGTGCGTCGGCAAGATAAACTTCAACTGCTATTCGTGCATCATCGCGATTTCATACTCAAACAAAAATGTCACAATCTGAAATAGGACACTATTGCTAAATAAAATAGATTTGTAAAAATTTTAACAATATTTTTGATGAATAAATAATAGGAAAAATGCCATAGCATATTATAAAGATGTCTGTCCGACTATCTATATCAATTCTGCTCTCGTTCACGTCGTCGTATTTTGCTTCTTCGACCAATTACTTTGCTGTCCGGTAATGATTGCTGATAAAAGCGCTGTGGAAATGATGCTTGCACGGAAACTGGCAAGGCGATTATATAGCTGTATTTGTATGGGAAATTAAATGTTTTGGATCAGTAGAATAACAGAAGATCAAGGATGAAATTCAAAGAACATCACTAGGAATCTCCTTTTTTGGTATATGGTGTTGTTGAATTTGTTGTGTTTCTGCTTATGTCCAACATTGTTTGTATTCATTTAGATTTTTCACGGCGTATACAACTGTTTTGACACTAAAAATATATGATGTCAAGTATAAGACAATCCGACAGCAACCCAACGACACAACACCAGTCCAATGACGGAAATTTTTTTTATATTTTATATTTCAAAACACTTAAAGGTAAATCAGACAATTATCTTAAAACTTGGTTACTTACTCAGTTTTAGGTGCTATTGATGTCGGATAATGAACTTTCCAGGTCTCTTCTTTGGCGGTTTTATTTCCTTTTGTCGATCCAATGTCGTACCACGTTTCAACTCCTAGTGAAATAGTTGTTTCCGGTCCTCCTTTAAATCCGAAGGCGGGTTTGGGGACAGAGAGTTTGTGCGAAACATTTACTACAAACAATTGTATAAAGATATTGATATATAACCATGAAAGCATATTAAAACAAAGAAAAACCTCCGAGGTTAAAATCATCAGTGATTACTTGAATGGCAATTCTGACGTAAATTAGATGTGAACTGTCTTGAAATACCCCAAAATGTATAAGAATAGCTAAAAAGTGTTCTGACATTTTGAGAGCAGTCTGTTCCAACCATAGGCAATTTCTACTGAGAAGATCGTAAGTGAACGCGAGAGGAGACAGAACATATACATGTAAATATATTCCTTATTGAATGACTGTTTCAGACGAACAAGTATTTTCTGAGAACAAATATTTCTTTGACACGCTTCATAACACTCATTTGCAATCTAAAGAATGTTCCTTGATGAGACTTTTCTTAATATGATATTTATATCTCACATGATACCCTTGTTCCTTGGTTCCAGCGGAACTCGTATGTATCTTCTCTTCTTATAGATTTGTCCTTGGTGATCGATAACTTCTGGTCAGTGTTTGTATTGTTTTTCTGCCTCCATGAAAATACAGTGACCGGGGTTTCCTTATGTTTTCTTTGGTCCAGATGAAACTCTATTTTGTCAACAATAACAGGCATCACGGGTGGAACCTATAATGAGACACGCATTTATGAAATGCATGTTGAATATACATAAAACGATATATTTAAACATAGTCAAAACAAAAGTATTATGTAATTCTGCATTGTTAAATGAAAACGTGTATACATATACAGTTAATATGTGTTCTTACTCAAGTGTTAACACTTGATTAATAGGGAATTGAACAACACACTCATCACTTAACTATCGACAGTGTTTCTTAATATTTTACAACACCAAATTATTAATGGAGAAAAGAAACAATATAGCAAATTTGACGACCGTCATTCTTCATGTAAAACAACTTAATAATTAAATTGAAAAGTTATACAACCACTGGGTCGATGTCATCGCATGTTACGGCCCCCGATTGTATCACTAGCCCATTAGTCAGTACTTTTTTTATGGACATAAAATATCATTGATATGTTCGTTTTCAAAAAATGTTGAATTCACTAAGGTTTCTATACACATATGCATATATTGCCTGGGCATCATTTTGCACAAATATTCGGAATTTACATTTTGAATGATCTTCAACTTCATTTGTTATTTAGCCTTCTAAATGTTTTGATTCAAGCACCACTGATGAGTCTTATGTAGACGAAAAGCGCGTCTGGCATACCAAATTATAAGCCCGGTATCTTTTATTAGTTTTCGGGTCATTCAAATAAACATGTTTTTTTTATCCCAAGCCATTAACCTTGTCATTTCCTTAATCTTGCTTTCCCTTATCCCATTTTATCCCATTTGGAATTGAGGCAGGCCTATGTTAAACATGTTTATCAATTGTCCATGCTTGGGACTATTTACTGTTGTGAATGTCTAAGTTTCTAAAGGACTTAGGTCTTGCAATGATCCTGTATCATTCGCAAGTACTTAACATGTATATCTATTCGTAAATAAACCTGTTGCGGCGCTTTATGAAAGTATAATACTCTGCCTGGCTATGTTCCACGCATTACATTAATAAGATTCACATTCACTAATAAACTAGTTGTAAATTGATATAATGAACGTATATAAGCACTAAGAATAAATGTGCATCGTTTCTTTGAACAAATTAGTTTGACATGTTGTAATGATGGCGGTATTAAAGATATATTAGTTTTCCAGAAAGTACGAAAACAGTCAAATAATCCAATCCATTCAAAATGCTGTACGTTTCATTGAGTGATAAATTGGATGAAACAGTTTGCGTACTTTGGTGCAGAACTGTCATTTGACTCTGACGCCATCATAGTTTTTAAACAATCAATAAAATATGGAATTGCTTGTGTTTAGAAATTGTTTCCCATGACCTTTAAATTGCAAACTTCAAACACATGGATGAAGAAAGACACAAGGGAATACGTAAAATCATCGTCTAATACCAAACTTTGTTTTCGACATTGTGCCTAAAGAGAAAAGTTATTTTAAATATTCTCTATAATTTAAAAGCTCATATGAGATAAGTGGATAAATTTTCCTGCTAAACACACCAAATAGTATACATTCAACCTAAAAAATCTCCTGATATCCCGAACAAAATTTATGATAAAGTTCAAAGTGTGCAAGCTTTTGTGGCGGGGTGGAAGGAAATGAAGGCATCAATACCCATTAAACACACCTTGAACTATACCATTTATGCTACTCTCACTGTTTGAACACTCGCCTGATATTTAACTTACTTTATTAAATAACCTTGAGAATATACATCTTACTTAAAATAAAACATACTATTTGTATAGCTCTAAGAGAAGAAAGTGTGTCATTTCTAAATTTTCCTTCTGTGGATGAAAGTACATGTTTTCCTGGAAGATACAGGGTCTGAAAACTACGGAAATTCACAGCTTCAAATCCAATCCATCTATTAAATAAACATAATATGATTTGCAATTTAAGAACGTGAAATACTGCACAGTTGTTTTTTGGAAAAATGTTCGATGTAATAAGTTTTATGTTTGATCTATATATTGACAGTGAAGCATGTGGAATTACTATGGTTAAGATTTCAACGCTAATATCATTTAATAATATGTAATATTCAAAAGTAGTATATTTGGAATAGTTCACGCACAATAATTCATAAAATAAATTATGTTTTTGTATCATATAATACCATTGAAAGGTTAACATTTAACATATGACGAAACAACAGCAAATACTGCTTTACAATTTTATACTATTACCTTTCGGATGACTTTTTGTAAATATCAAATTAGCGATTTCAGTCAAAATTATCTTTCTTAATGTGAAATAAACAGATAAGTTTCAGGTCAAAAAGACAATAAATAGAAAATTATTTATTTTAATTTCGTGATGTCGCCTGTTGTTAAAATTAATTAAGAGCCTGGTAACTACTGAGTAATACCTCTTTCCGTTTCTGCGATGATTTACATTAGAAGAAATCGTTGACAAATTCGGTAAGCGTATGAGAAACAATTTATAATCTAGAAAATAAACGTTAAAAATCAACTTACGCTCCACTATGTACCTCGAGATAAGATATTTGGTCATTCATATTATACCATTTCAAGTCCAGAACATCCTTTGTAAACTCTACTGAACGGCTTCTAAAATCGCCTGCGTACACCGTTATCTTTGGTTCCTCAGAGAAATCCTAAAATCAAATCACACTGGTTTTACCATATTAATGTTATATATAGTAGTATTCGTAAAAAGAGAACTATCAAAAACCCACAGCACAAAACACCATGCTTTATCAATTGTACTTTGCATCGGAATAGAAGAGGTATTGAGTACTTATTTAAGACACAAAATCCTATTACACACTTGAAAAAGATAGAAGTGAAGGCCTTCAACCTAACTGCAAGTTGAAGATTGCAACCGCCATCTTTGAGTAGAGTGCTGGAATATGACAGTTGTTTTCCTTTCGTTTGACGTGTTTAAGCGTTTGATTTTGCCATTTGATAAGGGACTTTCCAATTTTCCTTGGAGATAGGTATTTTTGCTATTTTAATTTTTGCTATATGACAATAACACAGAGGTTGAAGATACATAGGCGATATTCTAAACTTATAAGTCGCCGGGAAACTGACAAGGCCATGGCAAAAAACAAATATGACAAAAACACAAAAAAATCAATGAATTTTGTTTCTAAAGACTTTCGCGAAATCTAAAGATTGCGCAACACAAACCCGACCACAAACCGGAGATGATCTCAGATGAGCAGGAAGAGTAAGATCCAAATTCGCATGCGGCATCTTCATGTTGTTGATAGTAGTACAAATACGGTGATAAATCTCATTCTGTGATATCAGAATCAAAGAAAAGAGGACGGGACTAAGGTTACCACAATTATAATATAGTCGTTGTCATCTGTTCATAACTTGAAACATGCAGTTTCAGGGTAAAACTAGCGTATTGCAGACTATACCGGAGGAAATAAATCTAACAAATAATATAAAACGGACAAGATGCAATGAAAACTATTTTTTTACTGAAACTTTAACTTTTAATATTAGATTTTTATCTAATACAATTGAGAATGGAAACGAAGAATGTGTCAAAGAGACAACAACTCGACCAGAGAGCAGAAAACAGACCAAGGTCACCAATGGGTCTTCAACACAGCGAGAAAATCCCGCATTCGGAGGCGGGCTTCAGCTGGCCCCTAAACAAAAATGTGTACTAGTTCAGCGAAAATGGACGTTACATTAAACTTCGAAACATATAAATGAACCAAAATTATAAAAAACATACAAGACTATCACTATTACGGTTAATTCCTTTTGGAGTCTAAATACTTTTGTATAAACTTTGTTTTTAACTACGTATAAACCTATTAATGAAATATAATGGGCTTCAAATTTGAAAATTTCGACCGGCAACCCTGTCTCAAATATTGCATTATCGTGAATATGTATAGTACCGAATTTGATATACTTTCCATATCTTTAAATCATAAAACAGTAAAATAATACTTACACCTTCCAAAGGCTTTAATGAGGATACAGTTTCATCGAAGTAGTCATAAACAATCATGTCTTTATCTTTTGGTCTAATATTCTTGAGGTTAATTTTGTCCCCTTCCATCACTACACACACATGCCCTTTATAGTACACCTTTTGGTACAATACCCATCTACAATTAAACATACGAACACTTTACTTGAATCTTAAGTGATTTATAGTATCTGAAACTTAACAAATGTATACCTCGCATAACAAAAAAGTACTGCCATAAATATCGAAGTAGATTTTTGATAAATCGAATTAGATACTTTCGAAACACTATCAAAATACACATAATGGTTATTTGCATGCACAAACTGATGATGAAAGGGTCTATCTTTTCTTTCCTATTATTAATTTCGTAATTATTGATATTCCGTTAAATAGTACAAATAAATTAGTATATGTAATAAAATGTAGTGTATGTGAAGACAAATAATTCGGACATACAGGAATGTCAATTCTCAAGCGCGTGACCGTTAACCTCCAGCAAATTGCAATCCCGTACACTTCAAGATATCGCTTTGTCAACTTTGAAATTTTAGAATAATATAAGTCCAAATTGCACACTGCTATCAACTTTGGATGCATATCTATGCAGTCTCTGATGTAATTACTTAACCTTCGTCAACCTTGAAATTTTAGAATTATGCAGATTTGAATCGCGCTGTGCTATTCTTTTTGGGTGTATAACTATGTAGTCTCTGTCATGTCTGTTGTCAATACTTAATCTGCGTCAACTTTCAAATTTAAAATTTTACAAGCATGGTTCGGTCTTAATTTGTATTAAGTTCAAGTAAAATAAGAATAGATTGATTTCATTCATTTTACATCATACTGATTAAGGATATATTTAATACGAAATATATATTGATATTTGTCTTTACTGTGTCCGCTTTTTCATATTGGTGTTGTTTTGTACATTAATTTAAGCGTATACATATGTAATTTAGTATCTATAAAATATACAAGAACATCCATCCAAAATCACGTATTTACTGTCCAACTGATTAAACATTTAATATCTATGTATGTCTGTGTGTTAAGTTTTGTGTGTCCATATATTTAATTTTACCTATTAAAATATCATCATACTTTGATCAGGTATTTTAGATGCATGCCGTGCGTACTAAAATCGTACTTTTGACCTTTGTTTATTTCCGACATTTTTTTATTTACACATCATTTTAACTTGGTAAATGACTTACACCCCGGCTTCAACCTTGACACTTGACGCACAGTCATAAAATCCCGAATCAACCAGGTTATCATCAGCCCCTGTGAATGTTTTAGATCTACCCTCCAAATTAGCCTTGTCATACAGCGTGATCTGTAATAGAAACACCATATCATAGTATATTTATTTTATTTCTTGTTTTCTGCAGATAAAGATCTATGGACGCACCACACTTTTTATGTGTTGATTTCGTTTTTTCTGTTTGATTTATTTCTATAAATAAAATATTTAAACACAAGTTATTTAAAGAAAGTAATTTTCCGTGATCAATCGACAGAAATGATGGCCTCGTGCAGAGAAGCTATGGAAGATAAAAAGAAAATGACTTATAGTAGATTAATAGAAAGTTAGTACTGAATAATTTTTAGAGAGCAAAGGTAATAAATACGAGTGAATTCGATTGGCGAAAGTGTGTACTCAAAGGAGGTTGATAGAATGATGAAAAAACAATATACGAAATAATTAATGAACAAAGTTTATTGAGATATGTTCTTTACTTTTATTTAAACAAATACAACGAATTAAGACTAAAGAGGCAAATAGAAATACATATAAGAAAAAAAAAGAAAAAAAGAAATAAGACAATTTGTAAAAGAAAGAAGAAAAACAGGAATATAATAACAATAGTAATATAAACATTATAATGAATATTAATAGGGTTTAGTTTATACAAAAATATGAAACACTTACTTTTGGTTGCTTTTTCTGTGTATTTGCCATGACTTGCTTGGAATCCTTAAAGAAAAAAAATATATATTAGTTGAAGAATAGATACATCCATATATTTCATTTATAAATATCTACAAACTGTAATGTTGAAATGTTCTTACCTTTGTATCCTGTAAAAGAAATTAAATAATTGGTCTGGTAATTTCATTTAGTACATCTTTTTATATACATTTTATGAGTGAAACTATGAGAATCCCGAAATATTTCCTTGAATCGGATGAACTGAAATTACATCCATCGATGTAATGATATAAAAGAAAACTATGTCACGCATTTATGTTTTGGTTCCTTACTTTACAATCCAAACGACAAAAGAAATATAACAAAATATCAAGGATATCTTACACCCTTTATTACAAATTGTTGAATTACACATATATGTCACAGATCGAAAAGGCAAGGTTATTGTTTCAAAACTGAAATTTCCAATAACCTCATACTTATTTCAAGTTTCTTGGAAACACATCCTTCGTAAAAATATATTCTACAATCACAGTAACAAAATAATCAACATTAGAAATACAAGTAAACACAGCATCAATTTTTCACATTATATTGCAGTCTATGCATTATTTATGTATAATTGGTTTTCAAATATTTTTTTTGCATTTCAAATGACATGACCATTAAAATGTTTGAAATTGAAAATAGTTAAATCAAATTTGATTTCTGTTATGTAAGATTTAGTTCTATGATGAGTTTATTCCTCAAAGCTCCTCATCTTTGTACTTTATTTGACCTTTTTAACTTGTCGATTCGAGCTTGATTCGTCACTGATCAGTCTTTTGTAGAAGAAACGCGCGTCTGGCTAATACAATTTAATCCTGATATCTATGATGAGTTTATTATTATTCGGATGATTCAAGGTCAAATATAAGAAAAGTCAACAGTACAAAAAAGTCTTATAACTGTGCGTAGAAACAGCA